GTAATATAACTATATAATGATAAGGGAGGTTCGATAAATAAATTAGGGGTTGTTGAATTATTTTGGCAATCATTATAGTCTGATAAAGCTTGAGTTTCTTTTATCTCTAACAGTTTAGTATTTTTGTTTGACTCAATTTTCCTGGATTTGATGATATCATTAGCTTCCAATAGAGGTTGCTGCTTATAAGAAGTATTATTTGACTTTTTATATTTTTTGCTTTTATTTCTAATTGGAGAATATTTATAATTTAGGTATAGAAATTTGTGCTTCAAATTTGCTATTTCTGTTAATTTTTACCAAAATTAGTATTCATGTTGATTAAAATTTTTAATAGCTGCCTATCTTTCCTTCGCAATTTTAGATGACTTTGAAACATTTGTACCAATTATTTTTTTACTATTATTATTTTTTTGTGGATTATATTCAGCTGTTATATCATTACGAAACAGTATAAAACAATTTTGCAGATATGGGATAGTTTTAGCCCTAGTATTGACTGAAGAATTCCATAAAAGATCTATGCATTTTGTAGTTCGTACTTCACCAAATTCAAGAATAAGATTATTTACTAATTCTATTACTTCACAAGGTTCATTTTTAAGAACAATTTTTTGTTGAATGATAGATATGCAGTTAGACTGTTCTTCTTCAGATAGTGAACTTGAATGTGAATTATTAACTTTTGACATATTTTAAAATTTTTAATAAAAAATCAAACTTATATAATACAACTGACACGTAAAATTTACACTAACAGCTATTTATTACTTATTTTATTTAAAGTTGCGCAGATATACTTTTCGACAGACAATAAAGATGGCTACAATAGCTGCATAATATCAATTGTGAAAAATTTAGAGTATACTTCAGCATGTATTGTCAACGTAGAATAGAATTTTAGAAGTTTATGTGTATTGCAATATATAATCGTTTGAAAAGAAATAGTTGCTTCTAATTTTACTTTTTAGATAAACATTCTCAATTGATTTGCTTAGACGGAATCATTTTAGTTTACGTTGAACTAGTATTATGTTGTATAAAAATATAAAAATAAGAATCTTGTAAATTATGGATGTCCTTATTGAAGGTATTTCTTTTTTATTTAAACTCATAAGCTTATATTCAGTTTTATTTGATTTATTTGTTCCAATTGAATTGAATTATTATAATAAAAGTAAGCAAATTAGTATGTAAATAAAAGTAAATATACATTTGCTAAACTTTATTTCTTTTAGTATTCCGAGGCATAAAATGTTATTACTGTGGTGGTAATTGCGTTATTAAAGGGGAGGATGTTTAGAGAATCATCATGTCTAGTGATTATCATTATTATACTCATTGCAATTTATCATTATCGTTATTGTTTAATGGAAGATGTACTAGTTGTTACTAAAGAAAGATGATAGATATTAAAAATATTTTGTATCAATTTCAAATAAAGATCATATTAATTGTACTATTACCAGATACTACATACCGATATGACCAGAAATTAAAGTAGACCAACTAACGGTCTTACATTACTATAAATACGTATAATACAGTTATTTTTGATCATGTAAGATAAAAATTCACAATAAAAATCTGCAATAACAAATTTAATTATGTTAATAAATATTATTTTAGTAATTTTTTCTAATTTGATGAATAGTTATTTGATTGTGTGAATTTCAATCAGTTCAATTATTTATTTTATCAATTCAAATATTTGATAGGATAGAATGCATTGTGTATAACTGTTAAAATCTAAATCGTCATTTAATGACAGGTCTATACGTATCTAATAAGTAAAATGTATTGGTGTACAAGGTTCTAAAATGTCTGATTTATCTCAAAACCCAAATTGGTTTCATAGTGACTTGCTTAAAACTTTTGTTTGAATATACTAAAAAATTCTAAAGATGTTAAAATTCGCGGCATAGATATAGAACAGTATCCATGTCAAAGTTGCAACAGAGAAATATTTTCTTTTCAACCAATCATTTTACTGTCTTGTGGACATGCATTTCATGCATGTTGCACTAATTTTAACTTGAACCTAGCAATTTGTCCTAAATGTCTAGTTCAAAGTGAAATACGTGTTGAGAAAATTGAAATAACGTCTAAACGTAAGAAAAAAACAAACCAATTTAAAAATTCTTAAAAATTTAAAAAACTTGTTAATGAGTTATTGAATATACAAAACATTACACAACCTTGTCTTGAGTTCAACACTAGTTTAACACAATCATATATTGAGTTTAATGCTAGAATTGATTTTAATAATCTTAATCATGAAATTTTCATCACTGAAGAAAACAATAAAAAGTCAAATCATGAGGTTCTTAAGTGTTACTACGATCTTGAAGAGGCTTTATTGCATTTATATGATTATTATTACAGTTTATCACATGATATGCATAAATTAAGACAACAAGTTAATCAGGAATTCAAGTGGCAGCTAAATATCAACACCTTAGATATAGCTCTTAGGAAAAGAAAAGAATGGAGTGAAAAGATTTAAAGCCTTTTTAGCTACTTTAATATCAATGAAGATAGGTTTAAGGGTAAAGCAATGATAAGTCAGATTAAAACTTTTTCTGTATCAACTATTTCAAATATAAGTTGAGAAGATATTGACAAAGTTAAGCTACACATCACTGATAAACTTAATAGGCGCACTAGACGCAATCTAAATAGGGACTATACTTTCATATGATTTTTATAATGTTAACTCCTAAATTTTCAGATTAAATAAGTACAAAAAGTGTTATATTATAATATTATTAAAGGATATTAATATTAATAATTTTGCTCTAAATCTTTTTTCTGATTTAACTCACTTAAAACTGTGAATTGAATGATTTGATCGCATTATTGTCGCAAAATGATGGGTATACTCTTATGAATTATGTTGACAATAAAGTGTCACGTCTTGAATATGCTTTTATAATTTCTCAGATGGTTTGAATCGATCAATTATAGCTAAAAGACTCAGTTATAATCAATTAATTAGCATAGTTATGTTTACATAACTATGGCCCCATTAGCAAAGCCTGAAGGAAAATCTTTCAGGCACCATTTAAGTCTCTATTAATTTAAAGTTCACAACTATCATACCTAAACTCTTTATTTCTTTCTAAATTCTTTTTAATATGTCCACAATAGCTGCATGTCTTACTTGTGTATGCTTCTGAAATAGATGTTATTACAACTTTGCCAAATTCCTTTATTTTAGATATTAATTTCTTTCTAAACCTAGCATGTGCCCAACATATCATCTTTCGAACTGTCTTACTATTAATCTTTCTTTTTTGTTGACAAGATATTCATGTGCTACCAAATACTGGTAATACAATTATATCAAAGGTACGGGTTAACCACAAGGTTGCTTTCTTATATGCCTCATCTATCAGGTTTTAAATTCGTTTTCTTAAGCAAGCTTGCGCATGTTTCATAGAGTTACATTTTTTTGCTGGTGCCTTGTAGGTACGTGAAATAAGATCATCAAGTGTAAGTCCTAGCCAAAAAATGCAATTAATGTCATTATCACCAAAATTTCTATGGCCAACTGTTGGTGAATACCAAGTGAGAAAGGTGCGGACTCCAGGATCTATAGCTGCTACATGAATATAATCTGCTTGATTTTCACAGATATCTTTGCTGTAAACCCAGATAAATATCTATTG